CGGTCACATGGGCGGCAAGCCACTCCCATCCGGTCACATGGGCAGGAGGCCACACCCACCGAGTAGGTTCGAACAATTTTTGAAACCCATCACTGACGAATATGATCTTAAGGGGGCACTAGCAACCCTGCTCCACAGGTCTCATAGATCCAGTATCGGGTACCAGTCCTGTGCCAACCCAAACTCCATAGCCTTGAGCAGAGAAAATAATCCAGGTATTCTAAAAATCCCACCTTTGCCCCTGTTTTCCCACATGGTTAACCTTACCCTTTTCTGCTTCAGGGCCAGTTCCTTTTTGACATGTTCTTTGAAGCGTGACAGTTGAGGTACTCCTGAATCTTTTTTCCTATGTGATTTTGCGTCCTTTTTCTATGAAAGGGAAAAGACTGCCCTGGTTTTGATTGCAGATATAAAGTTACAACTTATATTCATCAGATCTGAAAACAGTGGATCCTTGCTTTTCCAGCTGATGCTATTTTGACCCTTTTCCCTTTGCTAAAGAATATCCTATGTTTTCTTATCTGAAAGCTGCATTCGGAGCAGAATTGATACTCTGATAGGAAAAACACTTATGGGTGGAGGAAGGTAACGTATCATTGGCAACTTGCATGATCAAAATTCCATACGGAAGCATAATGAGAGACATTGGTTACATTTTGAATCACCACCCAAATCCTGTGCCTTACATTTAAAACAATTCTGCTTCACTAATATAACCAGCAATCATCCCACTATCAAATTCAGAGGCTTGCCCTGCTCTTTCATCAATTCCGCTGTCTTCTCTACCACAAAAACTCTTTTCCCCCCCAAGATTCTGTTTTACCTTGCTATGTTTGGATTTCTTGCTAGATTTTTTCTGTTCTGCAAAAGAGAAAAAAGGGGGGAATCAGAGATAAACAAACATGATTTAGAATTCCAATTAGATTGGAACAATTCAAGCAAATATTTACTGTGCCGGGTCATGATGCTAAATGTAGATAGAGGAGCAGGAATCTCTTTTTCTTCCCAACATTAGTTTTTGAATCACCTTTTGTCTCCTGATTAACAAGACCTGGGGAAAAAGAGAAAAGTTAGTTTATGACATTTTTCTCATCAAATGAATAGATTGCTCCTGACAATATCCTAAATTATAACAACTGAAAGCTGCCCAGAATCACTGAGAATTGGGCAGCATATCAGTGTAATAAATTACATTTCATTTTGGCATAATGCATTACATGAATTCAGCGGTTCCACCACAAATGCGCGAACGAAAAAAGCGCGCCTGACAAAACCACGGTAACAAAACCGCGCCGACAAAACCGCGCGACGAATGGGCGACGAATGAGCCCTGAAGCGCGCCGACAACAGTGCGCCGACAGAAGCGCGCTGAAACGTAACCCTAAACCTAACCCTAAACCTAACCCTAAACCTAACCCTTACCTTAACTTAAATCGCGCTTCTGTCGGCGCGCTGTTGTCGACGCGCTTTTGACATCGCGGTTTTAGCGCTGCGGTTTTGTCGGCACGCTTATGACGTTCGCGCTTTTGTCAGGTCACGGAATTCAGCCACTATACTACATAAATCGTTGTTTAGTGTGATGAGAAACACAGCAAATGGTGTAAGGCTACAAACCTAAATTATCTTTTCACACCCTGTGTTTTCAAGTGGTGATAATCCTTCAGTATTGTCTCTGCCACATGAAGTAATGGAATCTATGTCAACATCCAGCTTGAGTATTCAAATAAAAGCTTCCATTGAACTGCAGGAGTTTCGTTTCTCCAAATTAACCCATTGGAAGTCCACATCCCCCTCCATCACTCTAACGACAAGTTGCAAAAAGAGGCATGTAGCTGTCCATGTTTCACGCTTGACAATCTACTGACCAAATACATCCAGAAGGAAATGGGTGGAACATACTGGCACATGTAACCTCCAGGAGAAAAAAACCAAGACATTCTATGATCTTTGAGGGATATATGGTAGAAATTGAGAAGGCTCTACAGGTAGTCCTCAACTTATAACCATTTGTTTCATAACCATTCAAAGTTACATCACTGAAAAAAAGTAACATACAACTGTTTTTCTTACTTATGACCACTGCAGGAATCCCATGGTCATGTGATCAAATTTTGGATGCTTCGCAACTGGCATGTATTTATAAAGGCTGCAGTGTCCCAGGATCGTGTGATCTCCTTTTGCAACCTTCTGACAAGCAGTCAATGGGGAAATCGGATTCATTTAACAACCACCTTAATAACAACTGCCGTGATTCACTTAACAACCGTAGCAAGAAAGGTCGCAACATGGGGCAAAACTCACTTAAGAACTGCCTTGCTTAGCAATGGAAAGTTTGGGCTCAACTGTGGTCATAAGTCGAGGACTACCTGTAGCGGCACCTTGATGGGAGTGTTAAGATATGGATGGAGGATTTAAATTTCCTGATTCAAATTCCCACTTGGTTGGTAAGCTCACCAGCTGGTAACACTTAATCACAGTCCACAATTTGCCTTACAGAACGTTATTATCTGTATCTGTTGCCTTAAGGTCTCAGAGAGAAAAACCAAGATATGAATGCGAGAATAAAGAGCACAAGTAGAATACACAAATCTTATTTTCAAAGAGCCATAATGATCAAAGATAGTAAATCCCTCCCCTCCCCACCTCTGGCATCTTCCACCCAACTTATAAAAGGAGGATCAAATGGTAATTCTTCCAGCTAATAATACTCATGTGTTGGACTATCAGTCCTCACCACTAATGTCTACAAAGATCCCGTTTGTCCCAAAGGTGTTTTTTTTTCCCCCTAAGAGGCAACTGGATTTTCTGGTTTTTCTTTGAAGATGTTTCTCTTCTCATCCAAGAAGCTTCTTCAGCCTCTCGGAAAAAAGCACCTTTGGGATAACCATGACCTACCTGGATGACTGAGAATGTCCTTAGACTAAGATCCCGTTTTATTATTCTTGTTGTTGTTGTTAATCTTTGGTGAGATTCACAGCCTTTGGGGCTGGCTGGTAGCTCAACAGTCCTAACCAAGGACCTAGGAACTGTTAAGGTAGCGTCAGAGGACATAAGATGTTCCAAGTAGGGCGGTTTTTTGTAGAATCAGAATATTATTATTAATTATTACGG